AAGACAGACGCACCACCATCCACCTCTAAGTTTTGCCCCTAAACTCTCACCCACACGAGAAGTAGATGCCGAAGCCTAAATTGCCAAACCAACAGGTGATGTTACTCTCTGTTTTTTAACCTCCACCTAGCAAGAGCAGCTTTCCGGCCCTGCTTCGTTGATGCAGAGGCTCTCTGTAAATCTGTCTGACAAAATATTCCATACATATCTACGGCTGGGGAGAAAACACCTACACAATAAAAAACGAAAAAAAAATGCCTAGAGAATTAAGCAGCCATTTGGAATTTAAAATTTAGCAAAACAACCAACCAAAGACAACAAAGAGCCTGTACTGCCCATTACACAAAAGGCTTTTTTCAGAGCAAACCAGACAACAACAATAAAAAAAGGGCGCACATTTTTTTCACAGCAAACAAAATGAAAACAACACAAATAAGAAGATGCGCTTGATACGCCACACAAATACTCAAAAATGACACCACCCCGAACTACCGAAAAGCAACACAAAACCAAAAAAAGAAGGAAAGCCACAAAAGGAAACCCCACATACGCAACATGATTAAGCCCTAGACAACACCTGTTACCCGGACTCGGCACCTACCGCCGGAGTACCCGTGTCGACACGACACGGGTACTGGTACGAAATCCGGCTCCGATCCGGTCAAAAGTGGCCGGATACGTTGACTATAGACAGCTGTCGGGACGGGTGAAGAAGATGTATGAACTATGTGGGAAAGAATGGAAAAAAGATGGTTAAGGGTGAGGAAGTACCGGTTTGGGTGGTCGGATCTGAGGAAGAGGTCGGATCTGGGTGGTAGCTCTGAATCGGGGATCACCGCCGGAGGAGATGAGGGGTTAGGGTTTTCTTAGAATCAGGAATGGATACGGGGGTTAGTGGGTTATGTGTGGTATGTGGCCACATTGTTTGGGCCAAAATATTTTATATTATTTACTTAGAGTTGGGCTGTTACTTATTTAATTTATTAGGCCCCTTTTGTTACTTATTAGCTAGGCCTTATTAATTTATTGCTTTATTTTTTTATTTTAATGTTGCATTAGTAGTATATTTGAAATGAATTATTATGAATATAAATTTGCAATGATGTATATACTTTTTTTCCTACTAATATTGTAAAATAAATTAAATTTTTTTAATTTTATTAAAGTGATTGTCGTACCCCACGTACCCGTGTCCAAGTTTGGGTACGTGCCCCCGTATCTTAATTTTTAGAAATATAAATACCGGATACTTAAATATGTACCCGTATCCGACACCTGTACCCTAGTCTATGTAACATACACACCCAAAAACAATATATTTGGAGAAAAACAACAAAAACTTAGGACAAGAAGGACGGCGACGGCAGAACAACCAATGCCACACTTTCGGTGCAACAAACCCGAATTAGCGAAATCAAATCTATAAAAAAGGTCTGAAATTAAGGCACACTGCAAAAAGACCTTCACATTCATACGCACCAACAGAAATTAGGGTATCGTATAGAGAGAAAACTCCACAAAGTCAAGAATACTAAAGAAAAAAGGCATCAGAAATAAAAAAATGAACCCCAAAATACGTACCCACGTTCGGCGGAACGCACTGCAAGTGAAGGAAATCCAATCAGCACTCAATGGAGCAGGGCAATCCACTGAGAGTAAAGCCATATTTTCAGGGGACAAAATCCTTCCAAACGGTGTCATTTAGACATGCTCACAAGAGATGTCCAATCACACCCATACGTACTGGCTTCAGATACCTCAATCATTACGTATTGAATTGACCGTGATAACCCCAAAAGTGTACCAAAGCAGGGTTATATAGGACAATTTACAACCAAATTTTGCAGCATATCACGTCGTTTTGCCTTGCACAATTTGAAAAAAATTACAAAAAAAATGTTGGCGAAAAGCTTAAACAGGGAAAAGCGAAGCAGCAAAAAAAAAGAGAGTTACATGGAAGCCAAAGAGCACCCTTATCTTAGAGCAACTGAAGGAAAAAAATTGGCTTTGTTTCCTTCTTTTTATTGCTTCTGCCATGAGCATTTCTATTACCATACTACATATATTGAATAAACATTCAGTAACAAGCACTAATTGATCAAATAACATACCGAACAACATTACTGTAAAGATATTACTCCACATTTGCTCACTAAATTGATGCTCAAACACAGAATAATATAACTGAATGACGAAAACCCAGTGTAAATAACATTTTACCTTCTTCTCCACCAAAATATAACCAGAATGGGAAAAAAAAAGTAAATAAAAAATTTTTACCTCTTCTCCTCGTCAACAGGAACAGCTGGGGCAGCAACACCATCCGCAGGAGCAGCAAACGCGCTGGCGCCACCACCGCCAAAATTGATTATGAGATCCTCGATGTTCTTCTCGCAGAGCTTAGCAAAAAGGATGGGCCAGTTTGCAGCTTCACCTGCGTGGCAATCTTCTCAGCCTGCAGAACAGAAAAATCAAATCCCACAACAAAATCCCCCAAAAAGACATGTAAAATGGCTGAAAATATACAAAAATAAGAATTATAGTGATGGCGATGCCATCATCGTGAAGAATCAAGGCAGCGTAGGTGCAAGCGACCTCTCTGACAGACATTTTCTGTCCTCTTTCTTCAGAGGCTTTAGAAACAAGCAATGAATGAGGAATCGCGAAATGGCAAAGAGCTGCGGCTTAATCATGCAGGACGTCTATATCTCCGATTCCCCGGTCTCCCTTCGAGACGAAGAGTGGCGGGGCGTGGTGAAAGGAAGAAAAAAAAAATGAGAGTGAGACTAAGTTAGGGTTTGAAGTGAAGAGGATGAGAGTCTTTTTTTTTCTGTGATTGAGTTCGATAATTGCGTATGTGGGTGAAGTTGCATGCCTCAACACGCATAAAATCTGTGTATCTTCTGGGAAAGTGATATATTTATTTAGCCATACAGAAAGGATGAAAAAGCAAGCTGTAAAAAAATCTCTAAAAAAAGGCCGCCACCACGTGTCGTCAAACAAAGGGGATTTATTTATTTTTCTCTATTGACCAACCAATTATAATTTTACACATCTCAAATGACACCACAATTAACACTAACTATTGAACAAAAATTTTTAATTACTTTCCTCCATGTCCTACAACACAATTTCTCTAAAAAAGGACCAAACGACGTCATTTAATCTCAAATGAAGAGCAAATAAGGCAGCCACGTGTCTACAAACAAAGGGGATAAGTTGTTTTCTTAGGCCTCATTTACTTTCAGGAATAGGATTAGACAATATAATCCAGACAACTTCCCATGTCATCATTTTGTCCTACATTTACATTATGGGATTAAAAATTGTGAAACTTGTCAAGCATTTGACATGACTAAATTGCAATTCCATGATAGAAAATTGAACCAGAAGCTTGGGGATCTCATTTTAGCCTCTTTCAAAAAAATTTGTCAAGCCCTAATTTGAGGCAACGGGCGACGGCGATAACATCGAAGACTGAGACGACGTGGGCCCCGACAGCATTCCTCAGTTGACCGGGTTTTGGACGTCGACAAAATCATTCTGAGGGCAGATCTATATAACGGACGCAATATGAATTGGGTTTCTGGAAAAAAAAAAAAAAAAAAAAAAAAAAAAAAAATTAGCAAACTACGAATCAGATTTAGTCGACAACCACAGTCTTTTCGAGTTTCGTTTAATGACATATGAAGCTTACGATTTTGTTAGTGAGAAGCTCAGTTCCGCTTTAAGCCCGACAAGCTTAAGCCAAAGAGGACTTGGAATATAGCAACTGCTACTCTCGGGAGCAATAGCTATGGTTTATACTTTGAGGAATAGAAATCACAAATTAATATTTCTTCTTGATTACCTTTGGCCCGATGAATATTCACTTCCGCCGTTGTCACTATGGTGCTTCTTCTTCTCGACAGTACATACGCTATTGCAAGAACTAGGGCAAATGGCCCCTTTTTTTATTTTATAAGGTACAAATTTGTAAATACATTAACAATTGGGGTTGTTTTCGTCTTTTCAAGTCAAAAATTGAGGGTAAAATAGGAATGGGCGATCAGGGATTAAATTGTCCCGTGGGGAGGCCGGGATGAAATAATCGGCCACTATGTGATTTAGAAGTGGGACCCGCAGCCACATGTGCTCCACATCACACAAATCCCATCCCAATCCTTGAAGGTTAATACAGGTTAGTCCGGGATAATTTTAATTATCTTGTCCCGTCCTTTGAAGTAAACGACCCCTTATAAGATAAAGGTAGATAGATATAGATGTTTTTTGCTATATTCAAAATTGGCACAAAAACAAACACGCTTTCGCTCTCCAAAACAAGCCTCATCTACGAATCCCTCACCCAAACAAACCCTTTTGCACCTAGCCGCATCAGCACAAACCCCATGATAAGTTTCGCTCCTCTGCATCCGCAGCTGCTTTGTTTCCTTTACACCCTGCACCACTCGCGTGCTATCTGCCCACATTAATTAACAGAAATAAATTAATAATTGTATAAATAAAATTGTGACTCGAATCAAGTAAATAGGAACCACCACATCATTATTTACTTAAAAATATATAAATTGTTATGTAAGATAATCTAACAGTTAATTAACTGACATGTCATTAGAACAAATTTATATACTTATGTTTGATATATTTTCAAATGTTATACTTCTTTGATGTTTTTGAAATTATAACATTTTCTGAAGCATTATATGCATAATTATTCATCTAGTAATTGCAAATTTCACATAAAAACTAAAATTTTGTTTTCAACATTCATTTTCGAACATTGAACTATTTTAAAATGAAAACAAAACTACTGATTCCGCCAGACAAACCCACGAAAAATGATTTTATGATTTTCTTTTTTCTTCTTAATACCAGGTATTCATTCAAAATTTTAGTCCATCTAACCATCTCAATGTAATTAGAAAACATAAATTAGAATTAAAAAAAAAAACAGTTAATAAGAAAAGTATCAACAAGAAAGCCACGCTCAAGATCTGTTGGTGATTGTTCTTCATCTTGCAAACAGTATTATAAGTTAATTAGAAAAATGTTTTGTATTATGAGAAAAGGATACTTGAGACATCCTTATATATACCAGTAGTAAAATTTACTAGTTTTATAACCATAATCATGGACTTGATTCACTTGACGAGTCTAAGTTCAAAACATGAAAGAAATGTTACAGCTTATTTCGCTTCAAATGATACTGAACTTAATTATGATATTTTTTTCTCCAGCATCCCCATATATATGAGTACATCTTTTGTTACAAATGGTGTGTCGAAATTACACAATAATCCTATTAACTAATTGTTTATTGCTTAAAAAAACTTGAATTGGAAAAAAATAAGACAAGAAAATTTAACATAACATTGTATTGAACATTCCTAAGTATTTCTTGGCAAATACGATTGTTTATCTCTTTTGTTTCCAATCGTATACGCTCACTGAGTCATTTTTTAAGAGGCCCTTTATATATAGAGTTAAAAAAAATATGGTATTGAACATTCCTAAGTATTTTGTTGCTTGGCCAAGAAAAATCGCTCGTGCCTAAGAGATTCAATAAGATGACAAGAGGTTCTATTACTCCTATATATCACACGCACTATGAAATAATTACTATTGTTAACTATGAAAAGAATAAGAATGGATAAAACCAGAAAACCAAACATATGAAACATAAAGTGAAAACTATGAAAAGCAACCAATCAAAACAAACAACAGAGCTTCTCCTAATTTGGATTATGTCCAAAAAAATGTACCATATACACATATATATATATATATATATATATATATATATATGTACACTTTAATTCTCATTTCACATCCTAATTGTTGACTTTCCCCGGCCCTTCAAGACGAATGTAATCGTACAGTACACCGGCAAAAAGGCCTGAAGTCCTCGCTTGCTTAAGATATATCGTGTAATTCCCATTAACCAGCTGATATCCCGATAAAGTAACCTCATATAACCAATATTTTCCATGAATGCCATGCCTTGCAATTGTATTGTCTCTGCCAATTTTTCCGGTCGTAAAATGAGGCTGATGACTATTAGGATTGTTGATCCATACCTAATATCAGTAAAGGTAAAAGCTTTTTAATTAGAAGAATTCGCGTAAGATTGAGAGAAATTAAAATGTTTGCATATGCATACTTGTAATTCGGCTAAGCTAGCCGAAGCCAATGCCAGCCTCAATGTGTAAGTCTCTGTTCTCCGCACATTTCTTTCATCGAATACGATTCTCCACGTTGTTGGCATATAGTTACTATTGTTCACAT